CTAAAATAAAGACGTAGTGTGGGATCACCTAGCCTGAAGCCAAGTACATAAAATTTATCATGAAAGTAAAAAGTATCAATTCAATTATAAACTTTAATCATTTCTAATAAGAAACAAACCTTTTTTATCAACAAAGACTCTAAATTAAAAAATCAACAAATATTTTTCCAGTTTTGTTGTCTATACATTTAATTTTGTACTTTCAGTCCATAAAAAATCAGTTATTAAAAATCACCATTACAGTTTAAGGTCACCAAAGGAATGACATTTCAGTCCAAAACATTGTGAATATTAAAACATCTCTTTTCGTGGTTATTTACATTTTTTGTTTTAGCTTTCAGTACATAGACAAGCAACAATATAAGTTATACTTTTGTTGCTAAGCTACATGACATAAAAGCCATTGTTGGAAGTTAATGTTACAAAAATGCACTGGCTTTTTTTATATCTTAGAAGTTGTAAATCTAATTGATTTTCACCAATAATTATTCTATGAATACATCACGAATTCATTTCATGAATGATCTTAATCTTAATTGACTTGCAAGGGAATTTACCGACATTTGATTGCCTCGACTACACTTTTCTGCCTCTTTGTTGGTCAAGCTTGATTTTGCAATACTTATTCATTTCAGTTAGCTATGAAATGTGAGGTTAAGGTATACTATGGTGTGGGGATGTAGTACTTGCCCTGTCATTTTTGATCGGCTATATGCTAGTATAAAATACGTCTTAATTTATTTTTGCCTTTCAGAAACCTTATGAAGCTGACTGAATACTCAATTTTTTAGTTATGACATTTTACATATATGCCTTAAGTGTTACAGATTGAATATTTTATTGTTAGGAGAAGTAATTAGTCCAAAATTATGACTTTCACATCTTACGTAATGTTCCATGTTATTTATGATGCAGTAATTAGTTGAAAACTATGACTTTCACATCTTACGTAACGTTCCATGTTAATTATGATGCAGGTAAGATGTGAAAGTCATAGTTTTCAACTAATTAGTAACGTTCCATGTTAATTATGATGCAGTAATTAGTTGAAAACTATGACTTTCACATCTTACATAATGTTCCATGTTAATTATGATGCGGTAATTAGTTGAAAACTATGACTTTCACATCTTACGTAACGTTCCATGTTAATTATGATGTAGTAATTAAAGTTTAAAAGTTATTTTAATCATGTTTAGCATTCTTAACATCATGAATGTGGTTCACTTTATAATTAATTATATACGTATTATATTTGCTGTGAATTTTGAAACAATACAGATTTTATACAAACAATAAAAAAATATTTATGCTGTGTTTATTCTAGCTACATTATAGTTATATGAAATGTTTTATGTGTGTGTGTGTGTGTATATTACTAAACAGCCCAAACATAGTTTAACAAATCAATAAATGTAGAACAATTTTCAGTTTTTTTCTGTTAATTATCCTTGTGATGATGAGAGCAGTCTTTGTTTTATTTCATTTATACTCTTTGAATGTAAAGCTCAATTCAGAAAGTAACTGAAATATATCAGAAAAATAACTGGAAATTCTGATTTCTTTAAATGTATGTATAAGAAAATAACATCTAATAATTATTTGATATACTTTATGTATTTTGTTCATAGATTAGTCGTAACTTATCTTTGTGCTTTTACAGAGTTTGCATTGAATTTCTAGACCAGCTACTTCACACATGGCCCACCCATACTTTAGAGAAACACATTGCTATTTTACAAGAAGCTATTAGGAAGGGATTAAGTGATGCTGATCCTGAGGCAAGGGTATGCTCAAGAAAGTAAGTTCAAATTTTACAGACTTCTCTCTTGTATAAAGTAAGTGTATGTAACACTTTTAGGTACAATAAAGTTTCTTAACATATCTGTTGCTACAAATATTTTACAGTTGTAGTCTCTTATATACATATTCTAATAAACTTTTATTACATGGTTACTCTAAAATCTGATACGTTTTTATTCAAGCAGTATGTTTTTGGTATGAAGGCTTGCAATACTGATCAAAGATTCTCACACCAGTGGTCAAAAGAGTCTTAATAAGCTGAGGTTTTTAACAATATTTTCATTAACAAATTATGTTGATTTTCTGATGTTTAGTTTTGAAGGAAGCATTACTCATGGTTCACTAGTTCAACACTTAGATTTTCGAAGGTTGAATTTATAAATTAGCAATATTTCAATTGAAACTAATCATAGAATTTTCAGTTTTGTGTTTTAAAATATATTAGAAGTTTGAGGGGAAAAATTTCAGGGTTTGATTAAAGCAGGATTTATTAATGTTTTTCTAAAATCTGTAAATTGCAAAGTGAAAATGAAATAACCTCATGATTTGTTCTAGGACCTTCTGGGGTTTTGCAGACCATTTTAGGGAACAAGCAGACAGCCTTCTCAGCTCTTTAGATAGTAACAAACAACGCATGCTTCAAGATGGTGGTTTATCTTTGACTTATTCATCTAGTAACAATTCCTTGAGTGGCGCCAGTAAATGTGGAAACGTCCGTGTTGGTAGCCCTAGCGCTACTGGCTCTGTAGAGAATCTCAGGTGAGGAGGAATCTTTGCTTTTAACATATGATCCTTGAAGATCACCAAGTATCTGCTCCTTAATACACAAATGTGAGTCACCCAAATGTAGTGCCACGGAAACACCAGAACATAGCATTGTGTAACCATACGGGACTCTATGCTCGTAACGTAAACAGAAAGAAAATACTACATTGGAAACTTTGATGGAAGTTCAAGGGTAGCGAGATTTGATTTTATTAATATTATTTCATTAAAATAAAAGAGAAAGGTATTCCATATTTTGCCAGGGGAAAAGGTTTTTATTTACTACTGTAAATTCCATGAGTTCTTCAAAGTATTTTTGTTTAAACTATCTTGAATCTAATAGGTTAAAATTCATGGGACTTGTGTAAATATTTAAAATATTATAATACTCAAACGATCAATGTCGTATGATAAACAATTAACATTTTATTTAGAAACCCGATCAACGATTGTAAGAGACACTCTACATGTTCCAGTGTCATTAATGTCATCCTCAGGAGTGTGAAAAACAGATGCTGTGCAATATATAAATCCAAAAAGACATGGTCATGTAACTACTAGTTTACTTTTTTTATATATATATTCAAACTAGTAGTCACATGACTGTGGCTTTTTGTATTTATATGTGCACAGCATCTGTTTTTTCACACTTCTGAGGATCATGTGAGTGACATTGAAATGTGTTGTGTGTCTTTTATGACTGTTGATCTTTTTTTAAAAAAAAAATTATAATTGTGTCTTATACAACATTGTTCGTTTGAGTATAATATTCTAGCTTAAATCTTTTGATATTCATACCATGCTTGAGGCTTTAGAATTGTTGCCTAACGCTTGATCCAATTAGTTTAAAACAGTGATTCCCAAATGCTGGTCAGCTGACATGTTTTCTGCCAATCCATGGAAATATCCATAACTAAAAAAGAAAACCTTGAGAAAGATTCGATTTTGAAACTTACAATTTGTATGTATCATAAGAAATAGGTGAAAAAAGACTATTTCTTTCTTAGTTTAATATGAAATAAGTGAAACTTATAACTCTTACTTCAAAGCTTCTTGAAGAAGTTCAATTAAGAAGAAAATAACACTTTTGCTGACCTCTGTCCTTCCAGGATAAGATAACATTCCTTCACAGTTGTTGCTAGCTGGATCATGGTTAGTAAGGTTTTTACAAAGATTTTACTGCTCGGTGGAGAGGAAAAATTTGGGACCCACTGGTTTAAATATACTTAAAAATATTATGTTTTAAATTAGGAAAATGATTCAAAATGTCTTTAGTAAACTGTTTTTGTCAGCTTATGGTAAATAATTTTCTTTGCAGTCATTATTAAGTGATTTGTCCTCGTGTGCTTATGTTATTTTTATTATTTACTTTTTTATATGTTTTGGTGCATAAAAGCTATGTTTCTTGTCTTAAAACAGAAAGCTAGTTTAGTTATATATATATATATATATATATCAATCTTGATAAAAAAAAATCTGTGTTTCTGTATAAAAAGTAAAATTGTTATAAGTAATCTTGTAAAATGATCTATTCCTTCTAAAAATTTGAACTGCATTCTCATAAACAACTGAAATAATTGAGTATTCTGAATGTTGTTCAGTTTATTAAGGGTAGTTAAGTAAATTTTCTCTAAGATATCAAAAAATATTCCTGAAAGCGCAGCAGAACTTAAATGTCATTTAACTATGTTTGTTTGTTCATCACTTTTAATAGTTTACCCTTCGTTTGTGGCTTGTGTAAATCTGCCTACCACTCCATGTGCAAAGATTCACAAATTTTTACAGTAGGCCATTCAAAATGCTACACGCAAAATGCTTGCATCATATGATGTCAACCGCAGTTGGAGGGTTAATAAAAGTGATGAACAAACAAACTTTACAAACTATCGCTTACTTTAAAGAATAGTAAGCAGTAGTTTGTATAAATTGATTACGTGTGTTTTGCTACCAAATAGTTCTGTTCATTTTAACTTTGAACTGTATTATAGTCAGTCATAAACATCTAAAACTTGTTATGGACACAAAGTTAGCTTATTGTATTTCTGTAAAATAGTAGTCTGCAGGATGTCAAAGCCTGTCTTACTACACCAAAGAGGTATTTTGTTTTATGTCCAGGAAGGAAAAAGTTATTTTATTCAATGGTGACATTTCAAACATCTTCTTTTCAGCAGTTTTAATATGAAAATGAATGACCATTGTATGTCAAAGTACTAAAACATACTTCTTTTGTTCATTGTGTTTCAGTAGCTTACTCGCATCAGTAAAATTGGATGATTCTCAAGTATGACTGGATTTGAATATCCAACTCTTTTAGTTGTCTATGAAAATCACACAGGTTAAAAGTACGCTAAAGTGATGCCTCACTGAACTGGACAACTTGTCAAGTTACATGATTTTATCAGCAAGTCTTCGTGGGCTTTCTGAACTCTTATCAACTCGTTGTTTATTATGTTAACTCAAATTTATTCTTTAATTTTATTATGTGTCCCATCCATTGCAGATATTTTTTTGTTTTGTTTTTTGAAGATGTAGTATTATTCTTACAGTGCTATTCTTTTCAAAACTCTCAGTACTAAAAATATTACAGTCAACTCTTGATTATTCAGGGTAATAGAGGAGGGAAGGATGCACGAATGACTGAAAAACACAGATAATCTATAAACCTCCATTTCTGGACTACGTTTATTGTAAGACACATTAAAATTACATGGTATTTTGATACTGCTATGGACACTTCTTATAAAATAGTCTCTAATTTTTGTTTATTTAGCAGACTTATTTGGATTACTTCTTATAATTATTCTTATCTTCCTGGTTGCCACATCATTGTAATCAAATCCACGCTGTCTTATGTAATCTGAACCAGTATCAAGACACTGCAACACCATCTTGTCTTTTTTTTTTTCTTTACTTTTGCACGTATAATCTGGAAAATGAATGATCTGCCCATGAGTAATAAGATCTGGCATGGCCTGTGGGTTACTAGATCAAATCTCATCATGAAACATGCTCACCCTTTTAGTTGTGGGGACATTATGATGTAACAGTCAATCCCATTATTTGTTGTTAAAGAGCAGCTTAAGAGTTGGCAGTGGGGGGTGTTGGCTAGTGCAGATAGCCCTCGAGTAGCTTTGTGTGAAATTCCACAAACAAGCACCAGCTTGGTATGCTTGCATTTCTTCTTCTTGTGAGTACAGAATTGTCTCTCAAATTTCTTTTAGTATTTTTAGGAAACTAATCTAACGTTACGAGTCTCGTATTAATTCCTTTCTGTTGTAGTATAAGTCATGTGTCTAAACTTAGTCACTGATCTCCATTAAAACCTTTAATTCTTGGATTTTATATGTTAGCTGTATTTTTAGCAAGGTATTGGAAGGATATTTGATTCTTCATAAATAGGCATCTTTGGAATTATTGAAAAGTTTATTTTAAAAACGTACCTTCGAAGCTATAAATCTGCATATCTCTTTTTTTTATTCTTCTTTTTTGACATTGCATTAAATCTAGTACTTACTAGATACAAACTGACACTTCTGTTTCCTTTCTAATAAAGAGGTGCTGGAAAGATTGATGAATAATCCTTAGAGGGTATCTAACTTGCATCCTGAGGTAGTCAGTATAATGTAAAGATGACACAGTTGTGGTTAAGAATTTTCTTTCTTTGTTAGTTTACATACAATATTGAGTAATAGTGAAGTAATCAGTCAGTGTGAATGAAACTAGAGTTTAGCTCACTAGCATCTACTTTTTCCGTCAGCCCAGATACTGCTAAGTTAACTGTTTTAGGGTGATTGAAAACACGTTGGCTTGCTATATACCACAGACTATGCTAACATGTTTCAAGTTTCATTATTAAATTACTGTGCTTCATATAGTTGTTCTTTGATATGTGTAGAGATTTTCATAGATAAAAGGCTGGGATATTAAAATCTTGTTTTATAAGCTAAAAAGATATTTTGCTCCGTAAATCAGAGTTGTTTCCTTGTTAAATGACATTTTATTTCTAAAACAAACTTTACTAACTGTGTTCAAAACATTTTTATTTGTTAATTCATTGGCATTGAAACTGTTTTTTTTTCTTTAGTTTAAATTTTCTTTTGTATAAAATTGTTTTTGAAAGGTGGTATTTTAGTTTATTTGTTGTTGTTGTGTATTTTCAGTTATTTGGGAAATAAATTATTTTTTGATTTAATTTTTTGTTTTGTATTTTTCTCCCACACTTCTTTTAGATAAACTTTTTAATATTCTTTTGAAACTGATTTATTAAATTGATTACTCTTTGTTAATAATACTTAAGCTACACATATATGAAAGAAACGTTTGTAAATAATGTATGGACACTATTGTTACTGAATAAACATATAAAATTACAATCTCGAATATTGTGGCTTCACAAAATATATATATACAACACACACAATTTGTATTATAATAATAATAATACTCAGTTTTTGTGTCCTGAAAATGTGCATACACAAACTTCATTTCAGCAGATGTAAACAAAAGGTGGATGTAAATATACTTTAGTAGATATATGTACAACAACATATTAAACGCTTCTCAAATTTTTTAAAAAGGTCTCACATTAGATTGTTGAATAACATTAAGTTTATTTATTGATAGTATTAAGTACAGTAAAGTTTAGCCCTAACTAAACTAGTGTAAAAATCATACACCAGTTACAGTGTTAATTTATCTCTTTATTGAATATAGACCGTACTTAATAAGGGAGTAACTAATGTTAGGCCTAAGACAAGTGGACTTGCAGGTTTTGATGTCTGTGATTAGAATTCTTTTGTATTATTCTAGAAATCCTGTATTTAAAGCAGTACTGTTGCAATAAAGATATTTATTTGACCACAAATGTTTTGTGGGTCTCTGCTAGTTACTTGTTACTTTTCTGAAATTTTTATTATCAAAAAATTTGAAATAAAACAAAGTTAAAAACAAGTTTGCTGCTTCATTCTAAGTTTTAACGTAAATTTTTGTTAAAATATTTCAAATCTCAGGATTAATTAAGAGAACTATATAAATTAGGTATGATATCTGTTTTTTTTTATATTGTAAAAAAAAACTGACCAGATTAAAAAACTAACAATAGCATTGAAATAATGAACTTGCACACGTGTGTAATGTACATAAAATAGTGAATATAAGATGGGTTTAATTACTGGTCTACAATCGTGTAATATTGCTTGCAAATATTTTCCATTATAACACTTCTAATTTTGTTAATACACGTAATCACTAGAGGTGAAAAAGGTTTCAGCTTTTGAATTCTCTATTACTTAACTAATAAGCCTTTCATTACACATTTTGTATTTTGTATCAGAGGTTTGTAATAATATGACATTTTTATTGGTACATAATTTTTTTTCAGAAATGTACCTATAAGACAAAAAACTTGCAAATAAATATTGAAATTGTAAATTTAATAGGTGATGTACTCTGTACAGGAATCCACTTATAAGTTTAGTTTCTGTGGGGGATATTATATCTACAGTTTTATACTGATTTAAAAAAAAACATATTTTTGTGTATTATTTAAAAAAAAATACTGGCTAATTCACAAACATCAGACCTCTTCCCCCCCAGTAAATCTGAATGTACATTGTTGTACGAGGAAGTATTTTAACGTAGAGAAAAGTCCGTGTATAATTCTATACGTTAACTTATCTACGTTATGAGTCTTAAACACAATATTTCTGTTGCCTACAGAATTAGACATTTGACACTGAAACTACGTTGGACTAGAAACAATGCAAACATTTTGACTTATACTCTACTTATTGTTAAATATAAAAATTGTAGGTTTTGCATAGTACTAGTGATTTATAACTATTTGATTTAGCTAATTTGGTTACAGTGCTTGATGTTTCTTTCCCCTGGTTAACATTATATATAGGATTTTCAAGATGAAGTTTAGTAAGAGGAAAAATACTTTTACTAGTTCTATTAAAAGCCTTTATAAATATTTCTCACAATGAAGGAACTTGTATTAAAAAAAAATATTTTCCATCATCAACTTTTATAAAATTTTAATTAGAAGATTTCAGTCCTGAAAACAAATTTTTAATCTAAATAAACAAAATTACATCGACTTAGAATGTGATCAAAATATGATATGAAACTTGCTGTAGTAATGCTAAATATTCTGAAACATTCATATAATATTTCAAGTTTTTTTTATTTTTGAAATTAGTCAAACACCAGCAGTCAGCTCAAGCAGAAGATCTGGCATTCCAATCTCTAATGCTCCACAATGTGATCCAAGTAAGTTTTCGTCTTACTTAAGTAAATACGTAAATAAAGCATGAGAAACTCGAAAGAAGGTCGGTATCCTTAATAGTTGAAATTAAAGACAGTGTTACATGACTTACTAATTATAAAAGAAAGCATGCCTGTAACAGGACTGAGAAGTTAAATAGGAATCCGAGTGCTCCACAAGTGTAAATATAGCACAGTTATGTACATTTATCTGTAATAGACCAAGAAAACATATATACACAATACTTTTGAATAGCTAAAACTTTAATGCAGTTTTATTCTGGTTCATATCTAAACCAAGGTAATGGTAACTTTGGTATCCTATTTCCTTGTTAATTTTAGTGTCAATGTTATATTAAAAACCTATCACAATTTACTCTCAAATCTAGAGTAGCAGAACAATAAATGGAAAAAAAACACAGTTGCTAGTGGATTTCAAGCTTTCTTTGTGTTTTGTGTACAAATAACACATACTATACTCTTCTACTGTGTATATTTCATATTTACAAAATT